CATCCGGTTGAGGTCCTTCAGTTTGTTGTCCAATTCCTTTGTCTGGGAACCCGCAGCCTTTCCTCGACGATCAGTTGCCCCCTCACCTCCTTGTACGGGGCTCTGTGGTTGGTGCAAGTACAGGTTGATAGGTTTCTGGGCCAGTTGGCCCTGGTGAGAGTGTGTGCGTGTCTGTGTCCGTGTGTGCCCTGTGATGGACTGGTGTCCCAGCCAGGGTGTATCCCGCCTTGCGCACGTTGTTTGCAGGAATAGACTCCAGCTCCCACGTGACCCTGTGATGACTAAAATAGCTAGAAAATGGTTGGATGGATCTTCAAATGTTGATAATTGGCTTCTAAAGCTACAGGGGCTTGAAGTTTGTTTTGGGAGCTGGCAGGGAGAGCACTGTAAAGGTTTTTACAGCAATCCAGCCGAGACGTGATGAAGGCTTGAATCCGGGCTTCTGCAGCAGTGCAATCAAGTAAAGAACCCAGTAAAATTCAAACCATGTTTCTGAGTAAAAAAGTAAAAGACTTTACAGGTGGCTTTTATTTGAGCATCAAAATAGAGCTCGGGCTCAAACACAGCCCCCACTTTTCTCATAGTCAGCAATAATTTGAGGCTACTGTTTCCAAGTTGTAGTTCATTCAGGTTTTTTTTGTTTGTTTGTTTTTTATGGCACAATAAACTGGTTACGACCTTTTTCAATGAGGGAAACTAATGAGCAGTATGAAATATTCGTCCCATTTTTTATAAACTTCACAAGAAGAATTCATATATGAATTAATTGTAACAGACTGAATACATATTGAAATATATTAAAAGGCTTCAGGTAATGCTGCCCATCACCCTTTTCTGTCTTTTCCAATACATCCGTGTACCAACCTCTAGAAGCAAGAGAATGATCAGTTCAAGAACTACATTTAATCCGTACACACGAACTCAAAAGTTATTTTTCCGTTAATCCTCTTTGATATTGAAATTCGTCTAATACTCTGCAGCATCACGGAACACACTTGTTTCTGTCCTCTGAACTTTTGTCAGTGTAGTATTCATGAAGCCACATTATTATTAAGCGGTGGATATTTGTTTTTAAAATCAC